ATCACCGTAAGCACGAAGCAGCTCCGCAAGCTCACGCTGTTCTGCTTCCCTCAGATCCCTTGTACTCTCTGCATACAGCGACTGTAAGTGACTTTGGACAACTGCAGGACATGAATCCGCTGGAGGCAGCTCTGCAGTGGAGGCCTGAACCACATCAGCAGGCTGGAGGATTCCGGCAATTACACCCTTCCTCACTTTCACAGCGACAGTACCTGGGTTATACAGTCTAACGGGAACTCGATTACTTGGCTGGGCACCAATTATAATCCGTGCCACCATCACCTGATGCTTCTCCATGAAGCCTTTAGTCGGACTCAGCAGCACACTGCCCTGTACTTCCTCCCGAAAATGTGCATTGCCTGGAACGATGTATTCACGTCCCGCCTCAAGGACAGCTGTGCGTGCTATGCGGACCACGTGCACCCTGGGCTTGTTCTTTGGATTAAAGTATGGAATCTGCTCGCCGAACAATACAATCTTCTGACTGCCAAAGTCGAGGCGTGCCCGTGCCTGCTCCAAGAATGGATGCCCCAAAATGGCCTCGGTGCCCTCGGCTACATCTGCAACAATGAAATTAACACTGACTGTTTGGGTTCCAACTTGCACTGGAACATCAACTTCCCCGAGGACATTGACATTTATAGGGCTTATTCCCTGCAGGGCCTGCAGGGCCTGTAGCTTGAGTGGGGGTCTTACATCAGGCTTGATGGTTTCATAACAGAGCCGAGGTAACACAGGTAACACGGCCCCACTGTCCAACAGGGCACAGACTTCCATGTCATACAACAGCAGATGAATGCACATTTCTGGCCCACTCCCCTTGACTCTGAGAACTGTGGAGGCAGGCTGGGTCTCTGTAGGCCGAGGAAGTGGTGGAGTCACACGTTCCAGGTTGAGCCTGGGTGAAGGACAGTTCCGCCTCATGTGACCAATACCTTGGCAGTTGTGACAGACAATCTCTTCCCAATTGATTTTACTCCTCTTGTTGAATCTTTGCAGACGAGGTTTGAATTCTGCTTTTGAATTTTTCTGTCTCCACTCAGGGGTTGACGGCACCGAACATTCCTCGTCACTTCCACTCTGGTCTGGACGTTCACGTACTGCTGCTGCTCTAGTCCTTCGTTCCATCGGCCTTACGGCAGATTGCATAAGTTGCGTTACACTAGTGGCTGTTCGACGTGTGGTTTCATACCTGTGTGCAATATCATAGGCGCGGGCCAGGGTACGTGGTCGCTCTTCCAGCAGTCTTTGCACGATATCGGCATCTCCCATGGCATTAGTGAACACCTCGACACTAATAGAGTCCTGTTCCCTCTCAGAGCGATCTGCATAAGCAATGGAGACTTTTTCATAAATGTCGTCCCTTAGCACATGGAGTGGCTCACCTGCCCTGCGGACCTTCTGCCTCAGCTCTATTCCAATGGCAGCAGCGTGTTCGGATGAAGGACCGTATGCAGCCTCCACTTCCTCTACTATGCGGGCATAATCCCAACGGCTGGACCTGGGGTTCTTGTGGATCACTGCACCTGCTGCGCCTACTAGACAAAACCTCATCTGCACAGTCATTGTCCTTTCAGACCAATGGTTAGCTCTGGCACAATCCTCAAAGCGGTTTAAGAATTCTCTCCATGAAGTAGAGCCATCAAACTGACCTGGTCGCAGTGTGGGGATCCTTTCTCTGTGATCATTGCACTCCTCCCCACTGTCTGATGACAGGTCACAGAATATCCGACGTGGTTTCCTTCCACGTTGGCTGGACCTAGTAAGCTCTGGGATACAACACTCATTGACTTTGGAATACATAGTGTTACCTTCATCCTCACGAATGCTATGCTGAGCTGCACAGACATCATGTTTACAAGGCTGGCGATTTATTGTGGGCGTGCCTTGAAGCATCCCTTTGGCTGTTAAATCTGTGCATATGGAGTGTGAGTAGTTCAAATTTGCTGGAGTACTCTGTGTGTAGCACTGTGTATTGATTCCACTTTCATGTATATGCTCATTTTCCACTCCACTAATAAATGGATTGGTTGCTCTCGCTGTTTGCTGTGTTATGTGTGGCTCATAGCAACATGTGGGCCTGCTTACTGAAACGGATGCTGGACACGGGGCAGAACTGCATTTAAATGGATTGTTGTTATTATCAGTCTTTGACACTTGAGCATCCATTTCGTTTAGCCAGTCAACAAATGATATATGTGTTCGTTTTTCATCATTCTCTGTCCTTTCCAACATCACAGGATTCCACAGGCTGCTCGTATTTAAATTAGAATGTTTTCTCACCACTCGCGTTCTCTCCCGAGTATCCGCCATTTCCACTTTTTCTCTTACAACGTCTGGTTCGGTTTAACAGTTTAAAATGTCCGTATGTCTCACCACCTGCGACGAACGAATCCCGGACTCGAGCCCCCAATGTTACTTTCTCCGCTTCAGCGATTTCCGGCGGCAGCGTAACAACTCGTCAATTCATGTTCGTGCAAGGGAAGAGACGGACAAAATTACCGATGCATGCCATTTCTTTTAGCCTACTAGTTCTCATGTTGTCAGGTTCACAGTGCAAAACAGCTCCCGGGTGGACTGACTTGACTTAACTTGTAAGCGGAATACAAACTTTCTCCCTCAGTTCTCAACTGCACAGCACACACTGAGGGCACGTCTCTCCAGCACATTTTACACTGAACTACATTACACATAATGCATCTCACTCTGGACTACAACTCCCGTACATAGCTGTCTTAAAGCGGCAACTCCTTTTTCCTCTCTCCCGCAACAATAGCTTTAAAGTTTTTGTCCTTCGAAAGACTATAATAGCTAAAAGTCAAATGATGATGTTTTCTGCTTGTTAAAAATGTATTATGCTGTAGAACTTACAATCGCTCTCGGGCAGAAACCTCGTAGGGAATGTTCAAAACCACTACTTTTCAGCAAATGGAAAAAGACACTGTATTTTTAAAATAATTAAACACTGTTGTCAAGGTTAAAAGTAGGCTACAAACTTAAAAGTACACACTTTTTCAGGATTTGAGGGGGAAAGAATACTGTATGTAGGTCAAGGCTACTACTGTATGAACCAAAGCAACTCTCCAAAAACATCAGCACATGTGTCCATTTGAGAGATAGGTGGCGGTAATGCACTTATGAGTTATAAGTCTGCGATCCGCCGTAAAGCAAGAAGAAGAAGAAGAAGAAGAAAAATCCAGACTTGTTTTGGATCCTTCGGCTCGCCGTAGCGGTCAGGTTGCAGTATGTTGTTAAAGTTCGGTCGTTCGAGGCAGTGGAAGTAAAATTCATTCTTACAGTTAAGTATATTCAGTACTGATTGCGCTGTTTTACATTTTACTTTACCACAAACATTTTAACACTTGCAGTTTATATCATAACAGTTTCTTCTAATTATGAATGCTTGATTAATCAGCATGCTAACAGCTAGCAAACTCGAGCTGCCCATCAATAACACTTATTTCTCAGATATAGACTTATAACATACTCGTCTTGTAAGCGTTTAACAACGGTCATAAGTTCCTCTTGCCTTTAGTACTGCGTCTGTAATGTTTTTGGGTTCGTATTTAGTCACATATAGTAGATGTTTAGATGTGCAGTAACAGTTTATGAGTTAAATCTTAATTTCTGAGTCTTTCTCACTTTGTAGAAATGCATCAAATCACGTTTTGTTCGTGAATTAAAAAGCGCAGAATACAGAAGTGCTTCCTACAATACTGAACATTTAATAAGTTTACCAAATATAAAGTAATAAATGTTCCTAGAAAGTGTATGTACAGCACGGTCCACTCTGTTGAATAATCCTTCACATTTGAAAGCATTTTTGTAAAGATGAGTGGTTTTGGAGGGTAGTTAATCAGAATGTAATTGTGTAATGAAGTGTTTGCAGTAACATATGTTTCTTCTCATACTGTTTGTTTGTGTAGCGAAGGCTGATTGTAGAGGAATCTCCTGCATCATGGGAAACACCAGCGATCGAGTGTCTGGAGATAGACATGGAGCGAAGACACAGCGTTCAGACAGCGGAGGACACAGAGACCTGGAGCCCAGCAAACTGATGGACAGCACAGACGACCCCAATATATTCAACACACACGGGCCAGAGTCTAAAGTATGCAAGAACACATGAAAGTAATGTTATAAAGCAAGTATTCTCAGAAAATCCTGCTTAATAAGCACATATACATTTGATTAGTTTGCCAATATTTTATTGTCTGTTTCACGTAATATTTCACTATCATCATCATAACCATCTTCCAGCCTCTTTTTGAAATTTAAACAGACTATTAATAGGTAAACAGTAATCAAGAGTTTGCTACATAAATGACCTCAGTTATGATTTGCTGCCCTCCTGAGGAACAGCGTGTGAGTTTGCAGTTTAATCTGTTCTGCAGGCCGCGGGTGAGAAGGACTTGGCTCCGGATCTAGAGGACATGAAGACGGGTCCGCAGGCTCGACCCACAGTGATCCGCTGGGCCGGAGGAGGCAAGGAGGTCTGCATCACCGGCTCCTTCAACAATTGGAGCAGCAAGATCCCCATGAATAAAAGGTATCTGTGCGCTTGTCTTTCTGCAGCGCAAACCATTATAATAAACAGAACGATGCACATTGTTATTTAACAAATTCTTTACATGTAAAGATGTTTTCTCTTTTTTTTTTTTAAGCCATAATGATTTTGTAGCAATCTTGGACCTGCCTGAGGGTGAACATCAGTACAAATTCTTTGTTGATGGCCAGTGGCTTCATGACCCCTCTGAGGTGACTATATCTGCACAACGGTCTGCATTTAAACCAGGATGGCTGGCTGAAATGCATGTGTTTTCTCTTCAGCCGGTTGTCACCAGTCAGATGGGCACCATTAACAATCTGATCCACGTGAAGAAATCAGATTTTGAGGTGTTTGACGCGCTGCAGGTGGACTCTCTCGAGTGCTCTGATATGTCAGGTAAGAGCGTCTCACAGTGCCACGCAGCATGTTATTAGTCATGTTATAACATCATTACACAAACACCTGTGTGGATGTACAGTCACAGTCATGGATGTCTGATAGAAACAGCAAAACTAGCTAGTGTTAATGTGATGCAGTGTTGTGTGTAGATCTGTCCAGCTCTCCGCCTGGGCCGTACAGACAGGAGGTGTACGTGTTCAAGCCTGAGGAACGCTTCAAAGCACCCCCCATCCTGCCGCCTCACCTCCTACAAGTCATTCTCAACAAAGACACCCACATATCGGTGAGAATCCTCTGTCTTACTGCCACATACAGTATTGCCAAAGCGTCAGGGTGAAAAATGTGCCAGTAATGGTAATAAAACTAAAATAACAGTACATAATTAAAGAGTCATGAAACCTTGAACCACATTTCCTGAGATGTTAACGGATATAAACAGTTTGCACATCGCTGAAAACAATAATAGCTCCCATTAGGTTTATTAATAAGGGGAAACTTGTCATTTTTGCATTTTTCAGAGCCATTTCATTTTTTTTTTTCTGGTTTGAAAAGCAAAGTTGCTACTATGTCACACAAAATATGTAGTTAACATTTGCAGCCGGAGTCTTGTTTTTTTCACTCACACTTTAATATTCATTCATCTGTATAATTGTATAAGTGTGTTATAGGCCTGTTTTATTGCTTGTCTCCTCACTTTCTGCCCTCTTCTTCCACTTTTATACAACTTTACACGCAGTGCTGAAACCAGGGGTTTCATGACATTTTAAAATGAACATTCAACAAGATATTAATGATATTTATATTCCTTTGTTTGTTTTATCAATATTCTTTCTCTGTCAGTTCAATTGAATAAAAAAGTAAATAGAATTGAATCCATGAACTCTATTTAAAAAAAAAAAATGTAATTCCTGCATCTTGCATTTTTTAAATGCAAAAACATCAGTCTGGATCATGTCAGTCCAGTAAGGTAGATGTGTATGGATCGTGTGGTTTGGCTGAATTCTGTGTATGAGCTTGTCCATGTCTTGAGGCTGAATGAAACGTCTCGGTTTAATTTAGTTTGTTTTGCGTGTGTCAGTGTGATCCTGCCCTGCTGCCAGAACCCAACCACGTGATGCTCAATCATCTGTACGCACTCTCGATAAAGGTACGTTACAGAGCTGTATAACAGCCGTGTGCTACCAAACAATCTCTCTCTAATGATTAATGACTGACTGTGATTGAAAGTTTTCTGCCTCAGGATGGTGTGATGGTTCTCAGTGCAACTCATCGCTATAAGAAGAAATATGTGACGTCTCTTCTGTACAAGCCAATTTAAAATGCTGTGGATGACACGTGATCTACAGTCCTCATCCACTATAGTCCAGATTGCACTATAAACCCGTGATACATACAGTGGATCTGTCCGCTTCAGCAGTAGTGTGAGTGTGAGAGTGTGTGTGTGTGTGTGTGTGTGTGTGAGTGTGTGTGTGTGAGAGTGTGTGTGTGAGTGTGAGTGTGTGTGTGTGAGTGTGTGTGTGTGTGAGAGAGTGTGTGTGTGTGTGAGAGAGAGTGTGTGTGTGAGAGAGATGACACTGAATAACACTGTGTGTGTGTGTGTGTGTGTGTGAGTGTGTGTCCTGTCATCACACATGCAATACTTGGACATCTAAACTTCCTGTTTGCCGTCTTGGGTGCAGCATTTTACAGTCTTGAAGGCAAGAATTAATCTGTCCAAAGCTCTTTATAAAACGCTGTCAAACAGGATTCATATATTTGAAAACTGCAGACAGAAGATCTTCATAAATACAAGTGAGGTCAAGTTTTGAGTTTCAACACAGATGAACATTTGAATGTAACAATTCATTCTAAGCTTTTATAGTTTATGGTCTCATAATTCATTTTGTAAACTGAGGGAAAGACACATGTTTTCAGAACAAAAGGAAGTTTCAGCCAAACACAGTGGCGTTTAGTATTTGCAGTAGTTTTACTGCATGTGGTTTGAATTTCACCATCATGCTGTCAGACGAGCACTTAAGCTGTTTCACTGTGACAGACAGACATGTTTTATTTATTTTATCAAGCAGGAATGTATTTTTCATCTGTTAGAAATATTAATTTTATGCCAGACGTATGTGGACACCGGAGCCTAACTGGCCTGTTCCAGTGGTGTTCAGGTCTGGTCTTTCTGGTGTTGAAGAACTAGAGTCAGTGAACCCTCCACAAGCTCCTGCAACAAAGTTGGAAGCACAGAAATCTCTAGATTGGTATTGCGTGTGTATCATGAATATTAATTTTGCACTAGATTTACTGGAATAGACAGACTTGTTAACTAAGAACGAGGCATCCACATATGTTTGGCCATAATGTGTATAATGTTTGTCTGTGTTAAATATTGTAGTGTGAAATCCTTAGTTTTGTTTGCTTTATCATTTCTGGCCATCAATATTAAATGTTGAATCAGGAATTTTTTTGAGGATGATATAAATTATATTCATGAGGTTTTATTTGTTTGCTGTGAGTTGAATTGTGTGGCGTTGAAGGTTTATTCACTCCAAAGACTCTGAAAATAGGAATTTCATTAGATAATGGCAACACCACAGCTTTAAATACTTTCAGGATATTATTTTGAGGGAAAGTCCAACTTGAAATGTTTTTCTTTTTCTTTTTAGCATATTGCTTCTAAAATTAATAAAGCAAACCATTCTAGTTGATTTGTTTCTGTTTGTTCACATAAAAACAACTATTACACACATTTCAAAACATTTATGCAACTGTCACAGACTAAATGAAAACGAATGCATTTCTATTGTTTATTCCTGTTTAAACTCCAAATGCAGCTGTAATAAAGCATGGCACATTTTCATCAGTGTCAGACACAGAGTTTGACTGGCTTGTGTCGGCAATCTTTTGTTACATTACACCATAACATCAGTAACTATAGCAACAACTGAGCCTTCAAGCACTATATACATATTATACAGATTTCAGAACCAGCATCTGCTGCTTATTTCTCTCGCTACCTGAATTCAGGTTTGTTTCCCCCTCTGGCTTTGGTATTTCATCCAAAACATTCCTGTATCACATTAATCCTTCGGTTACATTTCATTTGTGGTTCTGAATAAAGTGATACGAGACCCAAATACTGTGGAGCGCTCACAAGGCCATTTAAAGATTTATATTGCATTTCTCTCTGAAGAGAAATCACTTACATGGCTGTTTAAAGGCAAAGCAACATTCACTTACAAGCATATATTTTCATCCTATGCGAGAGATTTGAGGCAAGGCAACTTCTACGGTTTATAAATTGGTGTAATGTACACAGTGAGTTCATCTATACGATGTCTCACATCAAGATCAAATGGCTATTGCACAGCTACCCATGTTTTATAAATTTGCATATCCTATAGCGAACGTTGACTAGATTGACCCACACAGCCAAATTCAAACAGCAGGAAGGCATATATGTACAGCTTGGAAAGAAAATATATAGCAGCACAAATCTAAGAGCAATAAAGACATCTCTGATTGTGATTGGCTACGTGATTGTGACATCAGCAGCTCTGGTCCCACCAATCCCTGCCAAAGTTTGCAATCTGTAGTTCAGAAATCTTCAACGCTGTCATTGATTATATTTGCACAGGAGTAACTGTGCACAAATCAATGTCAACTTACTCGCATTCTATATTAATTTTTGCAAATGCAGAAAATCTCAACTTTCTATATTGTGTCCTCAACCCATTTATTTGCTTTTGAATGAAGTTCTGGCGTAAGCGACTGCCAAGACGCCCAAAGCACTCCTACACAGTTCCTACAAGGTGGTTAAAATAGTGCTAGTAAACATGGGTTACTTGAAATCAGTTTACATACAGAAGTCGTCATCAACAGCTGAAATGAAGGAAATTAACCATGCAAACTTTGGCTTGTTTGGTGAACCTCACCTCACATCCTCCATCATGCAAATACTAAACACAACATTCAATTTCAATCAGTAGCACTGGATAATGATGACAATATCAACAATCATACTAATACTAACAGTGGCACAATAAATGGCACAATGTCAAGCACGTGAACTTTTTTCACACTCTTTAGTTGCCATTTTGTCTCGTGACGCAGCGGTCAGTGCTCAGAACGGCTCGCATGCTGATCAGTCGCACAAATGTAACGTGTTTTTGCCAAAAATCCCTGAGATACTCAAGGGAATTCTGTAGCAGTCTGTTTATATCTCAGAAAGTGAAGAATGTGTTTCCTCTCTGTCTCTTGGCAAAAGATAAATACTGTCTTCTCACAAAGTGTCAATCAGTAGGCATGTGGATATTAACGGCCCACTGTTAAAGGAAAGAGGTCAAATCACACAGAAGCGGTGACAGAGGAGGGTAAGGCGGGTGAGTTAGAGGTGTTGACCAGTTGTCAGCTGGTTTAACGGGAGGCAGAAAGCTCATGTCACTCCCTGACACGCTTCTTGGCAGGTTGCTGCAGATTGGCTGTTTCCACAGCGATCGCAGAAGATGCAGGGGTCACGCGACCCCGAGCAGAAGAACCTGCAGACGCACCTGTGAAGACTTTACCTGCAGAAGAGTGAAAGAACCTACATGACCCTACAATCAATCCTGCTGATTATCAGAAACACATCAGGGCAGAAACAGAATGAGATGCATTCCTGAGGTTAATACTCACACACTCACACTCACAAACCCACTCACACTCACACACACACACACACTCATACTCACACACACACACACTCACAC